TCCTGTATATACATACATGCATAACTTCCCCTTCTTCCCCTTCTCTTTTCCCACACCCTAGTTGCCCTTTACTTTTGAGCATTTTCCTTCCATTTCACAATGTCTACCATACTTCCTAGTTTTTATTCACTCTTTCAGGTTCTTACACTAGTGAAACAATATGTTGCTTACACATGGAGGTCTGGTTTATTTCACTTATGAATACGGTCTCTAGTTGTGACCATTTTCCTGTAAAAGCCTAGAGTTTATCTTTTTTTAGAGCTGAGTAATACTCTGCTATACCACAATTTTTTTATCCATTTCTCAGTGGATGGACATTTGGGTTGCTTCCACAATTTACCATTAGAAGTTGTACTGCTATAAACCTGGGTGCACATATATTGCTGTGATATGATGTTTTCAGATCTTTTGGGAAGATACCCAGAAGGGGAATAGCTGGGTTGAATGGGACCTCTAGACCTAGTTTGCTGAGAATCTCCAAACTGATTTTCACAGTAGTTTCACCAGTCTGCATTCCCACCAGCAGTGGAGAAGAGTTCTTATTTCTCCACAACCTCGCCAGCATTTGTTATTGGTTGATTTCTTAATGCTAGCCATTCTTACTGGGATGAGATGGAATCTCAGTGTTGTTTTAATTTGCATTTCTCACATGACTGACTATTTTTCTTACAGGGGAAAATTATGAAAGTGGGTGATAGTAAATGTACCAGAAAATCTCAGCTAGAGTTGAAAAGAGCATTTTGTTTTTCTCATCTCTGCATTTAAAGAATCAAATATTTGTCTCACAATTTGGGTCCAAAGAACCCAAATTAATGTAGCTGTGTGTGATGCATCATCCAGGTATGGTAGCTTCAGAATCCCTTTGTTGAAAGAAGGACAGACAACATCTGCAAAAGCTGTAGGTGTGAATTAAGATATATCCCTAACTGGTAAAAAGCCAAGTTCAGTTATTATCACATTAGTCAACTCACCACAATATCACTTTGCAGAAAATCCCCTGGAGTTTTTTAGTGGATTTAATGAAAATGTCCTAAGAACCCCTAGGAAAGGGTAAGTTCTAGTGCCGTTGTTTGAAGAAATAATTTTGGCCTGCTTGAGAGAGCAAGTCATACGGGTTGACATTTGGCTGAAGAAAAGTAGCAATCAGCAACTTTTGTTACTTAACAAAAAAAAAATTCTGATTATTTTGGTGTTTTTCCCAGGCTCAGATAAGAATGGGATGCTAATTAAATAACTGACAAGTAGAAAGTTGAGAGGCTAAAGAAAAACTAGCATATAAAATACAAACATTTTTATTTATTTGGATTTTCCTAAGGATATTTTTATCATTTGTCTTTATTCTCATAAATAAAAAATTAAAAATCTGCTTTACCACCATGGACTGAAACTAATTGTTTACATTTAAGAATTTATGAAAACAGAAATATAATTTTGTAAAAGGACATAATATCAAGCTATATGTTGTATATTTTCTATTTGTGTATATGTGCAATTTTGATGGTCATGATAGTTATTCAAGAAATCTTATTTTCATTTAGTATCTCCAGTTATTATATTCATGTTAAAGAATGTTGCAAATATGTGAATGTTATTTATGTATTTTCTTATGGTTTGGGTAACTTTATAAGTGATCTCTTTTATGTTGTTTTTACAATGTCTGTCTGTGTGTGTGTTTATAATAATATTGATATAGTATTATGCATTTTTCCCCTACATTTACAATCAAATATCTTTGGAGATTGTGTAGAAAAAGATAAGCCTATTGTTTCTGAAATGATGCATTATAGAATGGTTATGTGCATTAAGAATTCTAACTTTTGTTTGCTTTTAAATAAGCTTGAGAATTGTTCAACAAATTCTAAGTTTTTAATTTGCAAGAATGTCATATCCAATATAGCTGTTTGATGGAACAGCTCTTTGATTTGTAAAGCTCTTATTTTACTATTTCATTTGGAAGGATTTTTGCAGACCAAGTTTAAGAAGGAGCTAAACACTTTTTTTAAAAAGGAAAAAGGTTGTGTAGATAATACACCAGTTTGTATTTTTCATGTCCTTTCCCTTTCTTCCCTCCTCCCTTCATCCATCTTTGATCCCCTCCTTAGTACTGCAAATATGAACTAAGAAAAAATAAATAAATAAAAAATGGAAAAGGCTAAACTTTGCAAGTCACCCAATGAGTAGGTGCCAGTAAATTGAGAAAGAGGATGAAAAGCAAGGGTCATATATCAGAATTAAAATAAATATCAATTTTATAGATTAAACAGTGTATGTCAGTCAGTAACACAACTTAATTTCTAAAAATATGAACTTCATATAAAAATAGAGAAAACTACATAGTGCTGTTTTGGGCCTCTGGATTGAATATAACCTTTTTTGGTTCTGGATCTTACTACTTCTCCAAGTGTACTGTAAGAACTGGTATAGTGGTAAAAATGAAAATCAGAGTAGAAGCCAATTAAATATATCTGATTCTATGTATTTTAATTAATATGAATAGAAAATATGCACTCTACATCTTGGTAATACTTTGTGACCACTATAGTCACAAGTGACTTAGCATCTAACTATTCAAAAATTAGAAAATAGCTATTGTCATCATGTGTAGATTTTTAGGATTCTGTAGAAATTGCTCACCTTTAATTTATGATGAATTGATTTACTTCTGCTTGGGAGTTTTGGCTTTATACTCTATCTCAGCTTAATTGTGTGTTTCTCTCAAGGGTAGAGTACAGGTTCTTTCTACCTGTTCATACCAGTTGGTTTCTCCTAAGGGTCATGAGCATTTACCTTTACAGTTTTCTCAGCACTAATAATGAAACTTGGAAATATTCTTTCAAAAGGAACCTACTTAGCATTTTAACAAATATCAGATAATGTTCTAAATTCTGGTGGTAAAATACAAATCTAATAGAAGAAGAATTTGCAGTGAAAGACAAATGTATGTGACAGTAAAAACATAATGTGGTGAATTAAGAGTGCACTTAGGGCTGCTTATCCCAAATCTGTCAGGAAGAGGGAAAGGGTACGGAAGGATCAAGGAAGCCTTCCCACAAGGATGACTACAAAGGTAATGAGTATCTAGTCCTGGACAGTATTAGGGTGGACAGGTTTCTGTGTGCAATAGAGATTGCTATGCAGTGTAGACATTTCTAGTGCAACGCTGAGGATTCTTCCTCCCTTTATGCCCCTCTGTCCTTCCTTTGTTTTCCCTTTCCTTCTTCCCTACTTTTTACCTTCCCTCTCTTCCTGCCGCTTCCTTATGCATCTCATATATCCTGAATTTTACTTATGCACCTCTTGGCTTTTGGTCTGTTATGATTATTTGATTCCGGTAGCCTCCTCATTCATTCATTCGTTTATGACACTATAATTAATACACATGAAATGTTAACAGTTGATACCCACCCCTTTGATTCTCTAGTTCATCGTCCTACTCCTTCAAAAAGGTTACATCCATCTTGAATTGTATGTATTATTTCTGTTTTCATTGGTTTGTTTTATCTCATAGATAGTATACTTAAATTACACATTGCTTTACTGTTTTTTACCTCAATAAAAATATTTTGAGATTTTTGCACTGAGCATTACACGAATAATTCACTATGCTTTTATTTGTAACTGACACCATTTAATTTCATCTGCACTAGTATTCCATTGTATGAACATAGCACAATTTACCCTTTCTCGAGTCAGTAGGCACTTGAGTCCTTCCCATTTGCCTTGTCATGAACAGCGCTGTGAACGTCCTCTTATTTGCTGCCCAAGAAGCATGTGAAATTTGCATATATATATGTATATATATATCATAATGTTTACAAAGGTTAAATGTAAAAGGTAATGCTAAATTGTTTTTCAAAACTGTTGTACCAATTTGCACTCCTGCCAGCAAAGGTATAAGAACATGTTTTACCCACATCATCTCTAACACTCGATCTTACTGGGCTAATTTCTGAGAGGTGAATGCTACGTTATATGAAAGCTATCTAATGTTATGTATGGTTTTAATTTGCATTGCCAAGATTAGTAATGAGATCATACTTCTCCTATTATGTTTGCTGGTCATATATCTTTTGTCTAACCCAATTACAGAATTTTACTAGTCTATACTAATGAATACTTGCTCTTTTTCATATTTGCAGGTACTTAAATATTTTAATCCTAAAAATAGATATAGACTCTAGGAGACATAGACATGTGTTTTAGTAGTGTATACAATAAGGGGTGAGTTTTTAAAATAAATTACATATAGCCAAAATGGCTTAACAAAATAAAATGATAGGAACTATTTCTATTTTTTTATTTTAAAGATAAAAGAATAAAAACATATTAACAAACACATTACATTTACAAAATAACACAAAAATAATACAAGCAATACAGAATTTCAGACAAGGTGATAGAAAATTAACAATGGTTGTTGTATTACATACTGATATCTTCAAATTCGTAACTCAGATAAACAAATATAGACATGAAAGATTGATCAGACAATTAAATATTAACTGTTCCTTTCAATAAAGCAACAGAAATCAGTAGTACAACTATGTTAGCTATCATGTGTTTACATATATACGTATTTTTCCCCCTTCTTTTTGGTCTCATTTCCTTCATCCCAGTTCTTTCCATTTGAGCAATTTCCTTTCGTTTCTAATCACAAAGCAATCCAAATGCCCTTCAATTGAGGAATGGCTAAAAAAGTTGTGGTACTTTTATATAATAGAATATTATTCAGCTGTAAAGAAAGATAGACTCAAGGCTTTTATAGGTAAATGACACAACTAAAGACCGTACTCATAAGTGAAATAAATCAGACCCTCATGTATAAATACCATATTGTCTCACTAGTGTCATAACCTGAAAGAGTGAATAAAATCTAGGAGGTACAATAGATATTGTGAAGTAAAAGGAAACTGCTCAAAAGGAAGGAACTATTTCCATTTAGAAAATATTTTCGTGACTTTTGTCTTTTCACAGCTTGTTACTTATTTTTCTTTTGACAGAACGATTCCGAGATATGCTGTTGCCTCCATCTAGTCAAGACTCTGAGATTCTGCCCTTCATTCAATCTAGAAATTATCCCAAGTAAGCTACAGGGCTTCTGTGGGAATTCAGAAGAGGGGTGCTTGGCACTGGGGAAGTTTGTCTTAGTTCATGTTATGCTGTACCTTGTTTGCATTAATTGGAGCTCCTATGCATGGCACATCTTCATTCCTCTGATCTCCCCTTCCGCTCCTCCTCACCCCTTGCTTTTGTTTCTTTGGACCAATTCCCTGTTGCAAGAGATCCATCCCCTTGCCCCTTTCTATTGTTTATCATTTTCTTTATTTGTAATTTGCTTTATTCAAATAAGAGATGCCATACAGTATTTAAGCTTATGTGTCTGATTTATTTCATTCAATATTATATTTTCCAGGTGCATCCACCTTCCTACAGATGTCTCAAATTTTTCATTTGGTATAGCTGAGTAGTATTCCTTTATATATAGATAGCAGATTTCTTTATCCAATCATCTGTTGATGGGTATATAGGCTGATTTCAGGATTTAGCTATTACATGCACAGGTATGCATGTATCACTGTAGTATGATGATCTAAACTCTTTGGGGAAGATACCTAGAAGAGGGACAGCTGGGTCATATGGAGTTTCTAATTTTAGTTCTTTGAAAAATCTCCATGCTGATTTGCAAAATGGTTATACTAGTTTACATTCCCGTCAACACTGAAGGAGGGTTCCCTTCTCACCACCGCCACACCAGTGTTTATCATTGTTTGATTTCCTAATGATTGGCATTCATCAGGAGTAAGGTGCAATCTTAGTGTTGTTTTAATTTGCATTTCTCTAATGACCATTTTTTCGTGTATCTGTTGACCATTTATATTTCTTCCTCTGTGGAGTGTTTATTCATTTCTCTTGCTCATTTCTTCACTGGATCTTTAATTTTAGGAGGCTTAATTTTTTTCTTTTTTAGTTCTTTGTATATTCTAGATATCAGTCCTCTATCCGAGGAGTAGCTAGCAAAATGTTTTCCCATTCTGGTTGTTGTTTCTTTACTCTGCTGATTGATTTTTTTTGTACAGACTGTTTAGTCTGACATAAATCCATTTAGTAACTCTTGCTGTTATCGCTTGTGTAACTGCACAGTTAAAAGGGAAATATAGTAACTAGTTTCATAGCTCATTCATACCCATCTTGTTGTTATTAACTCTGCAAGATTTAGGTTTATAATATACTTGGACTAGAGGACAGTTATATTCTTATCCTTATAAAAGTAATTTAGATGTATAAGATGGTTGAGTACATTCTTGCATAATTTATTCATATGTAACGTGCAACAATTTGGCAGTTAAGCAGAAAAATATGATCCAGTAACACTGGAAAATTTAATCAAAATATGTACAAAAATATTGTGAAAATACAGTCATAGAATTTTTTTACTTTGTAAACATCAGTATCAGGTTCTCTGAGCTGCCTCATATGAGAACTGTTCAGAGAGAAGAATGTTATTCATGACAAAATTGAGAAATGTTGTTTGGCTTGGTCTGCTGCCAAAAAACAACCTTGATTGTTTGGGCAATAAGAACAGTATCTCAGCCGAAGCTCACTTCAGTTGTCTGCTAAGAAGTGGTTTCAAGTGGAGATGTTGGGTCATATCCCTAAACTGCAAAGTCTCAGATGACCTTTCCAGATCTTCTCTGTTCTGCAGCTTATTTTCTTTCTTATTCCCTAACAAAGATACCCTCTGCAGTAATTTGGTTCTGAGCTAAGTTTTCTTCACTCATCATAACACAGAACATCATAACATCATAACACAGAAGTAATAGTAATGTGTATTGAATGTTCTTCATGCCAAAAACTGCTATGTGCTTTATATGCATTATTTCTTCAAATCTTTACTATACTGCTTTGAGTTAGGAAGTTTTATTTCCTCACATATATACATTAGAGGACTGAAATTTAAACAAGTTAATTCCCTTGCTCAACATCACATGGCACAGTTGGATCTCAAACCTGGATCCATTTGTTCCCCAATTGTACTTAACTTTCTCACACTTTCTCTCATTTACTCATTCAACCAGTCTTAAATGCACTCATTCGCAAAATTCCAAGCAGCACCAGCAGTTGCAATTACTGAGCATACAAGAATGACTAGGGCATAATAAAATAGCTTTGATAGACCTAGTGTCCAGTCAAGGAAAAGCAAAGTCAGAGTTTAGTGGATAAAATTATAGCAATTTGTTAAAACCTACATGTAGAGAAATAAACTAAATTCTACAGGAGGATAGAAAATAAAATGCTCATCTAAATTATTTATATTTAAATTTTCCTTGAGTTTTAACCATTTGAAGCAGATGTTAAGGCAAACTGACAGCATAACAACATGTGGAGTGATGAAAGCTCACAGGTCACTAAGGGATCATCACTAAGTGATTAAAAGTTGTGTGTTTGTGCAGGCACACATGTGCAAACACACACTCAAGGGACTGAAGTGCAAGGGAAGTGAAGTAGAAAGAGAATGGCAGTTCTGAAGGGCATGGAATGCCATTTAACAGAACTTGGAGGAGAACGGTAAAGAAGAAATATTAGACTTACATTTTTATAGCTTTATGATAGAGCCAGGGAGGGAAATGAGATACCACATGATGCCAGCATATTCTCTATAAAAGATCAAGGCATTGATGTAATTCATTTTTCTTCTAATCCATTTAGTGTGTTTTCAGATAAACATGCATGTTTGTGTGGTGCATTGCGTTTATTGCTTTGTGCATGCTGAACCATCCCTGCATCTCTGCAATGAATCCTACTTAGGCATGGAGCATGGTCTTTTTGATGATTTGCTGCATTCTGTTTGCCAGTATCTTATGGAGAATTTTTGTATATATGTTCATTAAAGAGACTGGCCTGTGGCTCAAGCCCACAATAAAAATTCTTTGGGCATATATGATGTCATTTTTATTTTTGAGTCAAAAGTAGCATCACACAAATAACTGGCCCAATGTGTATGTTTAAGCAATTAACTGTATGTAATAAGAATTGTACATTTTGTAATTTGTGTGATCTATGAGTACTTACTGAATTTCTGCTCTGTTGCAACATTACATTAAGCATATCAGCTTTTGTTTTGTTCTTTGAGGTAGAAGTATTTTTTCCAGTGGACATAGTACTTTTAACCCTCTTGGAAGTTTCCCCATACGACTTAAATACGTAGTGTGCATGTGCTAATCATGATGGCCAGCATTCTGCCTCAGTAATTCACAAACTTCTGAATATCCTGAAAATGTGACAAAACAATGCGCAGGCTTGTTTCTTCCTCACTCTGTGTGGTCCCGAGCCCAGTGGATCTCCAGGACAGTGTTCTTCAAGCACTACCTCAGGGACCCAGTGCTCCTCTTCACTGGTTCAGCTCCCAGCTTTTGGTCCCCATGGAAGGAAAGTAACATTTCCTAGCCAATTCCAGAATTGACACATACTGCTTCTCCTCACAGCCTGGTGGTAGGAACCGGATGTATGAATCAATGTAACTTCAAGAGCTGGTGAAGTGTCCTCTCCAGAGCAAGTGGGAGAAAGTTAGATTTTGGCAATGAGTGGGAGTAACACAGACTAATTCCAAAGGAATGTCCGTTTGTTAATCCATTTAACAAACATTTACCAGTCATTGAGTACTAAGCCCAGAGATGCATCATCTTAACTGATCTACTGGAGTAATGGCTCCTAACCATTAAGAACACACATTGTAAGGCTTACTACACAAGGGAGGTTTTTGAAAAGTAACTAATTTTTAGAAAAGCTATTTTTATAATAGATAAAGCAGTAAAATGGCAGTGTCTTATATACATTAAGCATTTATTTTTGTGTCTGGAACTAGGTGGTCCATATGATTTTTCTACAGTCATGAAAGGTAGACCACACAGTTAATATCTGAGGCCTAGGAAGGAAAAATATAGAGGAAGAAGGAGGTACAACTGTTATCTTTCATTTCTTCTTCCAAAGGACCAATCAGGTTTCTCCAGTTGCACTTTCATTTACAACACATTAGCCAAAACACAGACACAGACAAAGACATGAATGAAATCTGAGATATGTCATGTTTTGGCTGGACACTTTGCTTTCATGAATAAAATTAGTGTTCTGTTACTAAGAAAGGAAGGATGACTATTCAGTGAGCATGTAGCAGTTTCTGTTGCATTAAGAAGGGTTTCAATCCAGATGTATTAGTATACACTTATAATCCCAGCTACCTGGGAGGCTGAGGCAAGATTCAAAGCCAGACTGAGTAATTTAATGAAACCCTGTCTCAAAATAAAATTTAAAAAGGGGTGGGGATATAACTCTGGGGTAGGGAGCTTTTTTATCACTTACTAAAAGAAGAAATAAAAGAAATGTCATACATGTGTGTTTGAATATATGCAGAGTAAGTACAGCTTGACTTCTTACAGTTCTTCAACTGTTTCTATACTTCCAGACTTAACTGGGGGAAGAGGAAGAATGTGTTAGGTTATTTTCTTTCTTCTTACTGTTTTTCTGTTCCCATAAGAAATGTTTAAGTACATGCTGCAGCTACAGACCCTTCCAATCAGTATTCCCACTGAAGGGAATACTGTTGAATTAAATATAGTAAGTAAATAGGTATTTTAACTCAGCCAGGTATACTAATACAATATGATCTGCTTTAACCAGTCCCTACCTATCCAACATGATTCCACTTCTACTTAGCAACACTTTAATGAAAATTTCTTCCAGAAAGGGTGTGCTGACAAACATACATGCTTGTTTTGAAATCAGTAGTTCATAAATAACATTTCTTACTCCTCTAGACTTATCACTATGAGAAAAAAATAAGGCAGGCATTATCACAATGTTTAGATATTGGATTCATTGTATTTGATATATATTACAGAAAATTAATTTAACTTATGTTGATTTTTCCAACCTTTGCCTCCCTGCTCTGCAGGCTATACATCGATGGCCCATTTGGAAGTCCATTTGAGGAATCACTCAACTACGAGATCAGCCTCTGTGTGGCCGGAGGCATTGGAGTAACTCCATTTGCATCCATACTTAACACCCTGCTGTATGTCATTTTAAAAAGCTTACATTTAAACGTGGCAAGTAAAAAGTAAAGCAGTGAGGAATTCAGAGATAATTAATTCAGAAAATGTTAGAATTGTGAAGAAAAGAAGACAGATTAATAGGATATAGAATAAAAGATTGGTATTGTGGACACATGTTCAGGCAAAACTTTTATGAGAAGGTGACAGATGAATACATCATTCCTTGGTTTATTGCTTGGGAAATTTACAAAAGACTAAAGAAAAGAAATTTCAAAGGTGACGTTGCTTAACTTGGAAACGTTCTTCCAGTACTTTAGTTCCAGGATAACAAACAAAAGTTGATGGAGCACCTTAAAAATACAAACACAGTGACAGCAGAAAGTTGTTCTCAGTCCACTCCTTTTCATTTGAATGGAATAGAAATAATTGCATTAATATATACCTATAGAGTATAAAAAATAAGTTGAAGTAATGTGTATGAATGGCATTTTATTTCAATTTTAAATACCAGAGTGATTTCAAGACTTTCTGAAGGTTCTTACAATAATAATCATATTCCAAGCCAAAAATCATCTGTTTCTGACAACACATTGCAAGTATTTTAGCCATCTAATGTTGTGAAAAAGGAAGAACATTTTCATAACCTCAAGTCTACTCATAGTTATAAATAGGAAACCAGACTTGGGACTAAGAGTGTCTGGAATGCACTACATATTATGTGGTTTTAAAATCTCTTTAATGATTATTAAAAAGGGGATAAACAACCAAGGTTCTGGAATGACTTTGGTTCATTTTGCCTGAAAGTAAGAACAAGACCAAATGACCTTTGGATCCTTGCTCAATGGCAAAGTTACAGAAAATAGAAAACTTATTTTCATGAGAGTCAAGGGCCAATATTATTCTGATTCAAAAGTTCAGTTTATGGTCTTCAGATGGAGACAGGTGATATTCCTGTAGCAGTCACAAGTAAAAACACTTAATGATGTATGCCATGTCTTTGAATTAGTATGTTGTGTATTGCATTTATTTGAGAATAATAGTACATACTATGTCAGATGCCAAAATGTGACTAATTGTTCTCTTGGTTGCTTAATGAGAAGCAAATCTTCAATAATATAGGGATTCTGTAACTTCTTTACAGCACTAATCACTACCATGTTATTTTAATTTTTAAGAGATGACTGGAAACCATACAAGCTTAGAAGACTGTACTTTATTTGGGTGTGTAGAGACATCCAATCCTTCCATTGGTTTGCAGACTTACTCTGTATGTTGTATAACAAGGTAATGTTAAGTTTTTTTTAGTTTTGCAAATTTCATTTAAAAGTAATTATTTTATTTTATATTACAAATGCAATAAATTCTTCCTATAGAATAAAAATTCTTTTTAATCTAAGAAAATAAGAGATTAAATTGCTTAATAAGTAGGTTTACAACTTTCAGAAATAAATATTTGTATGTATATATTTCCATAATATACTTTAACATAGAAATACTCATTTTTTTTTTGTTTTGTTTTGGTTTTGGTTTTTCTCCGGTACCGGGAACCGAACTCACGACCTTGCGCTTGCCAGGCAGGTGCTTTGCCGCTGAGCTAAATCCCCAGCCCCGAAATACTCATTTAGTATTACCAATAAGCTATACTTAGACTTCTTGAAACACTATAGCTATTTAAGAATCCCAAATTCTTTTTTACTGAGATAAAAGTGGATATTCTTATCTTACCTATAACATTTAATTTCATTATCTTTATTAAATTCAAATTAAGAAGTAAGGCACATATCCACCTTTGCCACAAGTACCTTGAACAATTTAAATAAGTGAAATCTCTTTCAATATTCCTACCCAGTCTATGTAACCAATCATCTTGTGAAAGTCCTATCATACTCTTTATTTTTTGTTCAAATTGCTTTTCGTAAATGTATTGCTATGTCTTGAATTTTTTGTATTAGCAAACATAGAGCTACCTTATTCTTTTTACTGCAGTAGAAAATTTCATGATGCAGGTGTATCCAATTCATTTAACAATTTCTTCGTGTTGGCTATTTACTTATTGAAAAAGTGCTGAAGTGGATCTTTACACGTTTCCTGTACAGAAATTCATTCATTAAAGTCAGTTGTGCTGTCATCTAACAAGTATTTGTTAACTGCCTACTGTGAATCAGGAACTGTTTTACAAGCTAGAGATATATCGTATTGCAAAATAAAGCCAAGTCTCTGATCTCTTTGTGTGTTATAAGTAGGAAAGATGGACAATAAACCAATAAATGTGGGAGATGTCAGATTCTAACATTTTGAGTAGGACAAAAAAGAAAAGGCAAGTGGGGCAAGACAACACTACAGAAGAAGGCAGGTTCATTTATGCTCTATGTTCAAGAGTGCCCACCAAATGAAACACTGTTTAAACAAAAACTTGAGAAAACAAGCACAGTAGTCTAGTAACTTGGGGGACAAATTCAAGACAGAGGAGTCTAGCTTCACAGGACAAGCCCTGGTTCAGTAATGAGTTTGATATATTGGATGACTAGGAAGGAAGTTTGTGCACATGAAATAGAATGAGCAAGAACAAGAATAGCAGGAGAGGCAATTAGGTGGTTTGTGTGTGCTTTTCCAGGCAAAGGTAGATTACAGAAGGCATTTGGATTTTATTTCAAAGAAAAAGATGGTTTTGGAATATATACCTAGAATAGTCAAAAGCAGGAAATTTAATAAGTATTTGTACACTAGTGTCCATAGGAGGATTATTCACAGTAACCAAGAAATGGAAACAGTCTAATTGTCTATCAGTTGATGAATGGATAAACACAATATGGTATATACATATCACAAGATATTCTTTAGCCTTAAAAAGGAAGGATTCTGACACACCCTACAACATGGATGGACACTGGAGACCTTAGGCCAAGTGAAGTAAGCTGGCAAAAAAGGAAATTATTATATGATTCCACATTTGTATGATATCTATAGAAATTTCACTCATAGCAACGATATAGAATGGTGGTTTCCAGAGTATAAAGAAGAAAGAAATTGAAAATTGTTCCACTTCCTTTTCTAAAATGCTTATTTTTGCAGGTATATTTCTTGCCTCATATGTTTTTAAATAAGGAAAATCAGTGTTGAATGAGTAGAAAGCAAGAATAAGAACAAATGTATAGTAATTATTTTTATTTTTGTTCTGTTTTGGTTTTCCTAACCTTCCTATGCTGCTGTTGTCTTTTTTCAATCTTAACTTGAAGTTCACATTGTCTGTGGATAGAATTGCAGCAGAAGCAAAATAACAATATCACCCCATGTGTTTTTCTCAGTTCCTGTCACATACACTATTGTTTTCCATCCTTTAACTTTCCATCTATGAGTTTCCTTTAAATTAAATGTGTTTCTTGTATGCAGTATGTTGTTGGATCTAGTTTCTTGATCCACTCTGCCAGTCTGTTTCTTTTGATTTTGGAATTGAGATCATTTACATTGGTAGTTATAAGTGATATGTATTAGCTTATCCTTACCATATTATTTTCCTGCTGTTGCTTCTGTCTTTTCCTTCTGTTTAGTTGTTTGCCCTACCTGGTGGCTTTTTTTTCTTGATGTTCTTATTGTGGTCTTCATTATCTCTTTCTAAAATATCCTTCAGAACTCTTTGTAGAGCTGGTTTGGTCTTCATGCATTTTTTTCTTTTTTTTTTGTCGTGAAAGTGTCTTATTTCTTCATTGATTTAAAAAGAAATTTTTTATGGTACATGAATCTGGGTTGGAGGATTTTTTTTTTTCAGGACCTGAAATACGTCACTCCAAGCTCTCTTTGATTTAAAGGTTTGTATTGAGAAGTCTGTTGTGATTCTGATAGGCCTTCATTTGTAGGTGATTTTTTTTTTTTTTTCTGTAATGGCTTTTTATATTCTGTTCATGAGTTGCATTTCTGGAACCTTGTTGTAAATGCCTTGGTGCCTTGGTGTAGCTTTATTTGGGTGATGGCTAATTGGAGTTCTATATGCTTCACTTATTTGTATGTCAAATCCTTTTTCCATGTTTGGTATATTTTCTGCCATTACTTGGGTGAACAGGTTTTTTTATGGCACTTATGCTATCTCCAGTTTGCTCATCAAATCTGTTCAGTTTTATGTGTTCTTCTTTGCACCACCTTGTAGCTGTTGGATTGATTTTTCGTGGTCCCTTGCTATTTTAAGATATTTTTCATCTCATTGTTGCTACTTGCAATCCTGTTTTCTAGATTTGGTAGTCTATCCTCGCCTTCATTTGATTGATTGTGTATACTCTCAATGGAATTTTTAATCTCTTGGGTGTATGTTTGAATCTGTTTCATGAATTTCATTTCTTTTCTAAATGGGTATTCATGGTTTCCACCATTATCCTATGTTTCTTTGTTTTTTTATTTGTGTCTACTCAAAATTCATTGAGCCAAGTCCTTTGTTTTCATCCTCATTTTTTTTTTCCTGAGAGAATTTTCTCCATAGCCTTATTCATCATTTTCTTTGTTTTTTTTTTTGCTTTTGTATTTGGCTGTTGTTGCTATTGTTATTTTGCTTCTGCTGCTGTCATTTCATAAAATTCAAGTGGATTACTTCTGATTTTCTCTACTTCGTTGTTCCCTGTACTTGTCCTGGGTGTGATGGATGTCCAGGGTTCCATTTTACTTCTGTGTCTTGTCATTTTATTTTTTTAATTTTATTTTGATTTCTGTATTGTTGGTTGTACGTTTCTTATGGTAGATAGTTTTATCACTAATATTGAGGCTTCCCTAGGAAATATCTCTTCCTCAGAGTTGTCTTCTAGGAGTAGGTAGTTCTTGGTCTTTGTGTCTATCCCAAGATTCCTCCTTCTCTATTTATTAAGGGTGAGATATTGCTTTTTATTTGGCTTAGCATTCAGTCCTTTGCATGCTGAACTATAGTGATAGTTATGACCACAGAAAATCATAGTGTTGGCATAAAATGGAGAACAATTGATTATAAGAGGAATTGACATCCTGGCTAAAGTAGTACCGTTAGCAATAATAATAGCATCAACCACACTGTAGAAACTGACAAATTATGGTAACTATTAATTTGGTGCCTTTAATCATAGGAGCAAGATCTACAGTTACATAACAAAATCCAGCACAAATCAGGAACTTGTGTGCAAAGATTTTCCAATTACTAGAGTGATTTTACCCTGTGGTGGGGAAATTTAGGAGGGATAGGGGACAAAACAGAGATAAATGTAGAGAAATATAGTAGAAGCAAGGCTGAGTGACAAAGGATGATCATCCAGGCTTTCGGAAACTGGAGAAGGGAGCAGGAGACAAAGAATGAAGGAGAAAGCAAAAGACTATCATAGTGAACCAGAAAGACTAAAGGCAATATTCACTCACATGAAAATATCATAAGATCAAGAGAGATAGTTGAGGAAAGCAAGAAGATGAATAGAACAAAAATAAACATCAAAACCTAAACAACCTAAAAAAAACAAAAACAAAAAAAAAAAAAAACAGAACAAGGAAAAGAAAAGGAAAAGGAAACAAAGAAAAAAATAATGAAATTCCTCTGGTGTCCACCATTCTGTGGTAGTGTTCCAGTCAGGTAGTGTCCCAAACTGCTTAGCAATCCCACCAAGTCAATAGTAGAATTAGTGCTAGGTGCAAGGCTGATCTTGGCCTCTGGATTTGGGGGCTAAGTCTGGTCTTCAGCCAGCAGCTTTCTGTGTGTTCCTTGGTGGTCTGCCTGTGTCTCCTTATCCTGATTCTCTCTCTTTGGCTCTCCCTGCTGCTGTGGTATCCTCAAGCAAGGGCAGCCTGAAACTACTCCCAGTCCTGTGTACACTTTGCTCCTCCTGGTCCTTGCATAGCCTCTGTTTCACCACTGGCATGTCTCTATCCTGTTGAACTACTGTTGCCCAAGGCTGCTCAGCCTCCCTTCAGTCTCGACTCCAGCAGCTTGAGTGCTCATCTCCCAAGGCTGTTTAAGTCCCACACATCTGGGTCCCTTCCTCAAGCCAAATGGTATCAGCACAGGGAGGGTTGTACACCAGCCTTGTTGTCCCTAGGGGTTCCAGTTAGCTGCTAGGGTGTGTTACAGGGACAACACCAAAAAACTGGTGGCAAGACAGGAAGGAAGCAGTTTCCACTCACCCCTGTGTGTTCCAGTGCAATTTGCTGCCGGGTTGCAGCGTTCTCTGCGTGGAGGAAGGCAAAGAGGCAGAGGGCGTTATATCCCAAATCTACCCTGTGTGCTTGCGTCAGCCACGCCTCTGCAGTCCACTGTTCTGGCTTGGCAGGCCAGTGGCAGTGTCACCAGCAGCCCTGGGGGCTGGCTTGGTGCTTTATAAAGTCCCACGTCTATGTTTTATTTGATTTATGAGTCTCTTATTTTAGATTGATTTTGGCTTCAAGATGTATGTCCCTCCATTTTTCCAATTACCTGTGGGTTTTTTTTGTTTTGTTTTTTTTTGAGACAGGGTCTCACTATGCGGTTCAGGCTGGCCTTGAGCTCACTTTGTAGCCCACGCTGGTCTCTACCTTGCACACAATCCTTCTGCCTCAGCCTCTCAAGTGCTCGGATTACAGGCGTGTGCCACCACGCCCAGCTACCTGTGTTTTTACCTCAGTTTTCGCTGAGTGCCTCCATGTGGCTCCTCCTCTATTCTGCCATGTTGACTTCTCTTCTCCCTCTCTACTGTTGTCTTTTTTAGAGAAACTTATGTTCTTGATGAGTAAACTACTCCTGAATTAAAACTGAGAGACATCATAAAATGAAATACATAACATTTAGAAAGGACTTAGGTGAATATTAGTACATTAACTTCTGTATCTGTAAAGATAGAAATATATTGATTTCCATCAACATCATTATACTTAATTTTTGTCAATAAGGCAGGACAAGTTATTAAAGTTAAAATTCGTCCTCAGTCTGTTTATCTGTCTATATACTATATGCATATACATATATGTTTCATTGGCTTTAAATGTTTGCCATAAGCCAAGTTATGTGTTGCATTATAGAATCATATACATTAGACTAGAAGAAAATCTGAAAATATAGAAAGAATTTTAATAAGTTTATTCATTTTTAATGTTTTCTCAGTTTTGGCAAGAGAACAGACCTGACTATGTCAATATCCAGCTGTACCTTAGTCAAACAGATGGGATACAGGTATGTACTGGGTGCCATTGTTAATTAAACAGCAAGCCTCATGATAACAGAAGATTTACTGTGGGAGCTATGGTAGAAGAAAAGTGCTGTAGGTGGTTTGAGCAGGAGTGTCCTCCAGGAAAGCCTCCTTTGGATTCCATTCAGAAAACTGATAGCTTGTCCTTAAAGTCAACCTTATTTTGTCTTTCAATTGTCCTCCTCCGACCTGGCTGGAGCAGACCTTTTGGGTTCATTTCCCTGCTCTTCAGTATTGCTGCAAGTTTATTATTTCTGTAGATCAGGCTGTACATGCACAATATTGTGGTTTTATTCATCTGCTACAAGTTATATTCATCTCAGATGCCCATTCTTGTATTGGGTCTTTGAATTTTGGGGGCCTGATTTTTTAAATTCTTTATATGTTCTAGACAGGAGTCCTTTGTCTGAGAGACAGTTGGCTAAAATTTTTTCCCAATTCATGGGTTTTCTTTTCACCCTGTTGGTGATTTCTTTTGATGTGCAAAAACTACTCATTAGTGAAATAAATCAGATTCACATGTGTAAACGTCGTATTTCCTCCCTGCTATAAGAACCTGAAAGAGTAAATAAAATCTGAGAAGTACAATAGATATTGTGAAAGGGAAAAGAAACTGCTCAAATAGGAAGGAGAAATGGGATGAAGGAGGGGAAAGGAAAAAGGAAGAAGGCAGAGGAAAACATATGTGTATGTATACACAGGAAAGCAGGATAGTTGTACTACTAATATCTTTTGGCTTATTGAAAGGAATTGTTAATGGGTAATTTTTGATCAATCTTGCATGCCTATATGTGGTTATATGTGCAGCCATTTTGATGATGACAGTATGTAATATAACAACCATTGTTACTATCCTATCACCATGTTTTGAAATTCTGTATCATTTTTATTGCTGTCTATGCTGTTTTGTTTATGTATTTGTTTTTGTTATTTTGGTCTTTGCTAAATGAAAAACAAAATTTATATGTATATATAAAGATAGCTGGGATAGGTGCATTGCTGATGTCTGCAGTTTACTGAAAGGAACAGTCAGTGCTTAAAATTTTCTTTTTTCTTGACCAATTCTGCACGCTTGAATCTGGTAATCAGAATGACTGATCTGAAAATAACCATATGCAGTATTAGAGCCATTGTTGAACTTCTACCATCTTGTATGGTGAAGCTCTGCATCATTTCCAATTTTTTTTTATGACTTGTTACTGTCTTTGTTTGATTAATCTTATATTCTTATGTTTGGTGGACTGAGCAACTTCAGTGAAGATAACAGTATGTAGTGTAGCAAACATTGTTAATTCCTATCATTTTGTTTTGAGGTCATGAATTGTTTTTGTTGTTTTTGTGTTGTTTTGGTTTTGTCTTCATTGTTGTTTTGTTGTTTTTTTAATTTTTAAAATAAAAAGTATTTTTAAAAGTTATGTTTGGAGAGAGAAGATGAGTCATATACAGTTAAGTACAGTTAATTTCCAGAAAAACTGTGTGATACCCATCATATAATATTTATTTTACTCTTCTAGACACTGCTACAAATTTCACATGCATTACCTTGTGTAACTTCAACAGATTGGAGCAGTTGGCATGACTGTCCCCATTTTGCAGATGAAGAAATTAGAGATAATATTAAAGAGTTGCGAAAAGCAATAGATCTGGGTGTGGATGCTTTCCCAGGCTTTCTGATATTTCCCATCATACATTTTCACAATGTTTTGAGTAAAAATATGAATGCTTGTCAGTTACCTCCAAATAAGTTAGATTTCTACTTTATTTGCAATGTTAAAAACTATTTCATTTCACCACACTCGTAAAGTAAGTTAGTATCATCTTTCCTCATGGTATCATTGTAATTAATTTACAGAGTAAAACTATCCTTGTTTCTTAGCTTATCTGCCTGCAACCAACTTTCTCTTTTCATTACACTTCATTTTCACTTTTCACTGTGGATGCAGATCTAATATTCTGCTAATTGCAAACACTGGGCCATTAACAGTCATTTATTGATGGAGTCAGATTTGGAACCGCGCTGTCCCAGGCTGTCTTCTCTAGGATAGTTTCCCCAAATTTATGATGACAATTTGTGGTGATTTACTCATCTAATAAGTCAAATATGACAACTTTAATTTGTGTGGACAAATATTTCGTTGACATTTATGTGCTGAACCTTTTGAGACTGAGTGAGCCGGTAAACAGCATTCTCATGCACTGCACTTTTTTTTGGGTGTGTGGCTAGTTAAAGCCTAGGAAAGTCAGCCAATTGTGAAAAATGGCATTTGACAAGATAAGGGATTTTAAAGGAAAAGAAGGAAATGATACTTTGGAATCATTTTACTTAATAGGTTTCCACTATGTACATTCTTTCTATCATAGCAATTTGATAGGAAGACATAGCACCTGCAAAACTGATTTTAGAGAAAAGAGTTGTGAATCCAAATCTGACTGATATAACACATACTCTTTCCATTTTGGCAGAACATAATTGGAGAAAAATACCATGCATTGAATTCAAGACTCTATATTGGACGTCCTCAATGGAGACTTCTTTTTGATGAAATAGCAAAATGTAACAGAGGGTAAGTACTGTAGCTCAGAAGCATTTGACATGGCTAATGATCAAATTAAAATATTACAAAACTACCACAGGCAGTGCTTAAAGATGCTGCATAAATAAGTAAAGATGCTGCATAAGTCAACTTACAGATTACAAAAACATTTAAATTACTCTCATAATCAAAAGAGAAACCACGCTAGATATCACCCTGTATATATGCAACGTCAAATAATTAGAATTGGCCTTAAAAATAGTTGTTGTTATGAATGAGACTCTTACTCTTAAATTTAGGTAGACTCATTTAAAAATAGGTATTTATCCCCACAACATATATGAAGAAATTATGGAAAAGTTTTTCAAGATCATATTGGCAAAAAGGCAACCTTACCAATATATATAGCAATGTATATACATTCAAAAATTAAATGTTTACACTTTATTACAATGCATTAAAAATCTTTTTCATTATAATATGAACTCACTAAAGCAAAAATATTTCCACACATAATCTTTCTTCTTGGAAACTATATCAAGAATCTTAACCTTATAGACTACGTATTTATGATCTCAATACATTACTGTTTAAGCAAAAACATTTATTTTATGACACACCCTGGCCAACCCATTCATCTCTGGTAAAATTATCATGGTTCACAGCAGTGATACAAAAGAATTCCTAAAGGATTTTGGAAACTATACCCATCACAGCTTTTTAAGTTTACATGTAAATAGTTTCATCATAAGTTTAAATGGTTGCAAAAGATTTTTAACATATTGCCAGTGTTAACATTTTACAAAGTAATTCCTTTAAACATAGTACCTACAATATGAACATCATAATTGCTTGTTATCAACATCATTTATTATAAAGATGCACAAACAAATTCCTCAGCACTTGGAATTGTAGGTCATACTTTTTCTTTTGAACTTGCATTTCTATTCTATTAACTCAGAAAATTCTACCACTATTCAGTGTATTTTTACATTTGAACTGATCATACTTTTATTGCTAACTTAACCATCCTGTGATAAGAATGTACATACATGATTTCACTTTTGAACGTAAGCGTGCAGGGTTGTATTTCTTCTGATTTGGGTTATCATTATAATTAGTATGTATAGTCATTGATGACATAGACATGTTCTGAGAAGTATATCTTTGAGCAATATTATTGTGTAAATGTTGTAGAGCAAATTTACCCAAAGCTAATGGTATAACCTACTATATACCTATGCTATATGGTATATTATACCATATATATATATATAGTATTTTCATTTATGTAGGTACATAATTATATACACATATAGAATAGCTTATTGCTTCTACTGCACTACACAAACAACACTAGATTAAATCAACATCAAGAGAAAAGGATGCAATTAAGATTCACAGGAAACAAGAGAGATATGAAGCTGCTTCTGGTGTAATGCAGCATGCTGTGTTATAGTAAACATTTTTTTAAACAAATAGAACATTTTGAAATAACAATAAAAAGTATAATGTAAAAAATACTTAACCCACCCACATAGTTATTATCTTTACCACATACTGTGTACCAAGCAAAATTGTATGTGCTATGTTTTTATGCAACTGGCAGCAAATACAGTAATATAATCAAATGGAACGAACATCAGATGTGTGATCCATTCTTGAGTGAAATGTCAGTGTGCAGTGTATGGATATAGGTGAGTAATTCACAATTTTAAAAGTGTATTTTGATAAACATCAAAGGATGTTTAATTGTAAGTGTACGTGCTAGCATATTAGATGGAGAGTTTTTTTTTTTTTTTAAGATGGAGAGTTTTGAAGAATCTAAATTTTTAGATGAAAAAAAAGTTTTTTTTACACTGAAAGTATCACTGTCTCAAGATGGCCCCTGCCTCCACCATCAAAAATTTTGTTTTAAAAGTTATGAAGTAGAGTTCAAGATGCAAAATTTAAATAATTAAAGTTACATATACTTCAGATTGCAGACTTGTTTGAAACCACTTCTATAGCATTCTTTTCCCATGATAAGCTTTTGAGGAGAAGAGAAGGAGCATTTGTGAAGCAGAGATCTTTTGTGACATTCAGGGTGCTAGTGAAGGTGAGCTGTAGAGAATACATGATAGTAACCCAATTTTGACTACATTCTTTCCCCATCTTTCTGCAGTGACATCTACCTGTGCTGCCATAATCTTGTCATGCCCATTGGCTCATGTTATGCACCACCATGTTCCTCTGTAATGACATTTAAGGACTCTGATAACCATTCTCTTATTGGTCTTCAGAGTACATCGCAAAAAACTGCGGTAGACTGTTCAGTTTGGAAATGAAAGCCCCAGACAGCAGAGAACCATTTACAGGAAATTAGATTAGGATTATTGCTTTTGTTTTGGTCAGCTTGTAAGAACTCTCATTTGTTATGCTGATCATGTTTTAGAGTGCCTTTGCATGCTTATTCAGTACTTTGCTTTTTCTTGAAACAGCAAAGCTGGTTAAGAAGGGCAAATGTGCACCAGTTATTGTTGAAAATTTGCACAATTCTTCACTTTGTGTGTTTGTTGTAGGATAAGCACCTAAAATCCATTATTTTTGAACGATTTTTATATAAAATTCTTAGGAAGAATAGATCAACGTCTTAAGGGTTCATTAATTGGACAATAGGCATGATATAAATAAAAGTTATGGAATATTTTGTTTAACTTCATATACATAAATAGCTGAAATACCATATAAACTTAGGGATGAGGGCCATATACATTCAACTTTTTAAATACTTTATGCTGGGTATCAATTCTTAATTTCCAGAAAACAACTGTCAAATCTGTAGGATTTACTTAGTATATGATATAGAAATTTAAATTAAACAGCTGGATCCAAAAGAAACGATTGATAATTCTATGTTACATATTCTTACAGAATACTGTACATGTGTAAATGTATATTCCTACAGGTAAATATTTGTATGTTATATACATATATGTATGTGTATAGGTACATATATTTGAAAAATATATACCTTGTACACTAATAAAAAGTCAGATGAATCTACAGTTTACAATTCATTGACTTGCTTTTAAGTGATACATTCATATACTGATCATGGATAATTTAAGTGTAATTTTACCTCACAATAGTATCAAATATGAATAATCTGACCATTATACCCTAATTATGGGTATTTAGGTTACCTTTCATTTTTTTCTGTTACAAACAGTGTTAAAATAACATCTTTGTACAAATTTCCTCCTATAAGGTTATTACAGTGTGTTAGAATCTTAAAATGGAATTACTGGCTCAAAGTATATGGACATTCAGATACTGCCCTACCCAAACCAGAAAGATAGGTTAATTTACTTTCCGCATGCAGATGGAGTGATTCTTTTCTTTTGTGTTAAACTCAGAAAGTGAACCACATGATGACATTAAACGATGATGGGGAGCAAAGGAACTTTTGAACGGACTCTGCTCTCATCATCATTTTACAAATGAAAGTGGAAACCCCAAAAGATAATGATTTGTTGAAAGCTATAATTAATGAATCAGAATTCAGACCCGAATCCAAATCTCCCGAGTGGAGGTACAATGGGAGTTTTATAGCTGGGCATATTTGGTTTATCCTAAATAGAAAGATGGCTAATCTCATTTTTCATGTCTCTTTTGGAAGATGGATTGGCAAAGAGACACTATGTGAAACTAATACTTACTGTGTATGTTGCTGCAGAAGTCACTTTTAAAAAATATGCTCTGTTGCTTTGAAAACTCCTTAGTATTTAATAATCTGCTAGAAAATATTTATACCTAACCCACATTTAATTTTCTATTGATTGTCATTATAATATGCATTAAATTTTAAGCTGCTGAATATGTACATTATGCAAAGGTAGAAAGGATTATTTTGATAAGGTGTTTGAGATGATTTTATTTTGTGGCCTCAGTGTTTTCAAATTAGTACAAGTTAAGCAGATCTAGGTTCAGTCTTTCACCTTTGCTCCTATGCTTGGGACAAGTTACTCAAATGTTATGGCTCTAATAAAAAGAGCAAAGTTCTCACTGTGTGAAACTGCACTTTTTTCAAATCTGTATAGAAAAGCAAATATTGACAAACTACGAAATTATATACAAATGTATAGCACATTTATAAATCTAATTTCCACCATTTACTATCAGCGACATTCTCTGCTTAATACTTTAAATCTCTCCATCAATCTCATTGAAGTTTTGTAGATAAATTTCTAGATAATTACTGCACTCTAGTTCAAAGCTGGTGCAAATAGAGTGTAAAGATTAATTATAGATATTAAAGAGGTTGTAGGATTTAATTATGTCACTGACATTTAGGAACTCATCAAATCACAGAAAAAAGATAAAAATTGGAAAGAAAATACAAAGAAAAACATCACAAATATTTTAAAAATAATGACTTAATTATTTAGTATTTAAAAGAAGATTTTAGGAAATCTGAAAAATCTAAAAAATAAATTTAAAAAGAACAGTAATTGCCCTGTGAAAGAAAATAAGGCTATTTTATTGCTATTATGTAGTGGGACAGAATCTGTACAAAGAAACAAACAAAATCACTCTTTCTCTTCTCATTTTAATGGAAACCACACTATGGCTTTAACTTAAGTTAAAACCAAGTATTGTTAAATATAAAGTCATTTATTTTCATACTTTTTATTCTATTCTTTCTGCTCACTTTGAATTAAATTGACACTTTAATTTGTTTCTGAAGGGTGGACCATCGCTCATTGGCTTCAGACCTCTCATTGCTGGGAAAAGTAGTTACTACTATAAATTTCCTCCTAAGAATAACTTTGACTACATCTGACAGGCTGGAAATTAAAGATCAAGGTGCTAGGGAGCTGGTTTCCTCTGAGGACTCCATCTTTATCGTGAAGACAGGTGCCCTCTCGCTGCCTCTCTGTGTGACCTTTGCTCTGTGCGTGCACACCCCTGGCAATTCTGTAGCCGTATTCGTGTGGTCTCATACACGAGCGGATCAGTGTTCAGTCAGAGACTGGAGGATGTGCCTCCACAGGACTCTAGACTTTAGATGGCTCCCGTTTCTATTCTATGTTCTGTTGCATAGACTAGCTATTTTGGCCTCCACCGACCTCTGAACTCCATTCTTTGTCTCTTCAACTTAATGAGATTTCTTGAGTTTTCCCTGTCTGTGCTGCAGCATAACGATTGTCTCTGGGTAATAGACAGAGATTTAAATCCCGGCATCCCACCTCAAGGGTCGTGTGTATGTGCTGCCTGTTGCCCAGTGTCTGAAAATACTTGTTTCATGTGTTTTGTGTTTTTCTAGGAGTGTGTTTGTTGTTTGGTTTTTTCTTTTTTGCCACTCTAGGGACAAAACCCAGGCTCTTGCACATGCTGAGCAGGTGCTGTACACTGAACAGCACCCCAAGCCCTTTGTTTAGTTTTTCAATGCAGAAAGTAAATGCAGTCTCCATTTTCCCAACAGGGCAGTAACAGTTTTACTTTCACAGTTTTGCTTCACATTTTTTAAGGTGAAAACATTTTTTCATTATTTAGTATAATTTTTTTCCTATGCATTTAAATAGATTCATTGCCTTTTTTCTGCAAGACCAATTATTCTAAGACAATGAATACATACTGCATTGGTCTAAGAAAATGTTAATCATTTTGATATCATAGGAAGAAGCCAATGCAACTCAATAAAGTCTGAAGAGAGATCAATTTGAAATGTTATTAGTTTTTGAGATATATTTAGTCTATTTGCTAAGGATACATATTATCTGACTACTAAAATTTTATGTTAAAGAATAATAAAATTGGCTTGGCATTTGTTACAGTTATTACAGTATGCACATAAGGAGAAAAATGTCTGCAGATTAATGTGTTGTACTTCCTCATGAATGCAAATTAATCATTTAAAATTATCCTACCAAATTGTCATGTATCCTTTCTCTCAACCCTTAATTATTATTGCTCATATAAGTCTTTGAGGAACATTAGGAAAAACGTGTGTTAAGCGCCTACTGAAAGAAAAAGTGCCGTGGTCAAGTGTGTTTACCAGTTACCCTCTATCACTTGCTTCTCTTTCTATGGTTTCTGGCCTTATCAATAACACGTAATGAAAAAACCTACAGGACATTCCTCAGATTCTGTCTGACCATGAGCAAATTTGTACTTAGAGTTATATTTAAAATTGTTTTCTGTATTCTAATATGAAAAGAATAATGTGAATAAAATATTTTTCTGGTGGTTATTTATATTTGGAAATAATTGGCAAAGTATACAAAGTAACAAAAATTAACTTCATAAATACCTTAAATCCATACCTACAAAGCATTCTTTTTGTTATGTTCTGCCTAATTTTCTTACTGATTTTTCACTTCTTTTGTTCTTTCCAGGAAAACAGTTGGTGTTTTCTGCTGTGGACCAAATTCAATTTCCAAGACTCTTCATAAACTGAGTAACCAGAGCAACTCATATGGGACAAAATTTGAATACAATAAAGAATCTTTCAGCTGAAAACTTCTGAGTTGAACCAACACATTAAAGAAAGAATGAGTGCTGTTTTTAAGACTTGAACTCAACTGAATCAAACACTTGTTTTGTGCCAAAGAATAGAAAGGTTTTCTTATTTATGATTATTTAAATTGAAAATGCAGAGAATGTGGTAAGATGACAGGTCACATTACATGTTTAATCTAGAACCAAAGAGGCCCCAAAGAGTATTTGATGTGTTGATTCAGTTCTTGATGATCAAATTAAAAGACCATAATTAGATACACACTGTTGATTTTTATGGTAGATTCAACATTCCCTAGTGAGGAGTCAACTAGCTTACTCTGAAGATGATAGCTGTCGTCCTCTCTAAATTGTTTTTGGTTGAACAAATACAAGATTGAACAAAATTAAATATTCTTTGAATATCAGATTATATTTTCAACATTGTATATGAGCATAGTAGCTTTAATTTTGAAATGCTGCAGGAAAATATATTCAATGTTTGAAAATGCAGTACACAGCTCTGTATTGATACGGGTACTTGTGCTGATATCTAACTTCCTCACTACTGATACTAATACCTCCACTTGAGATCTATGGTTGAATCTTCTGTAGATATTGATATAGTATGTGCTTTTATATTTTTCTTTCTTTCCTCTCTTTAGGGAAACCTGCCTTCCCTTAGCATGAGTCAGACAGACACAATGATTTAATAAGTCTTTTTTATCTCCAATTTACATAACCTATTATTATAACATAGTAATTAAAATATCATTACTATAAATTATAAAGTGTTACATATATGTCATTTATAAATAAGTAATTGGCATGTATATGCTAATGACTTACTTACTTTTTTAGCATATTGGCTTCAGTTTTTCATGTTTTTCCCCCAAGATATAATTTGTCTTAGTTTTGAAGCACTTGAAGTGTTCCTTATAATTTGCACTTTTAGACCAAAGAGCAGCATATCTGTGACCAGGCACTGAAGTACAAGCTCTCCTCTGGGTCACACAGGGATTTATTGTGGAGACACTGAAAGTACAGTCATGTTCCTGAATAGGCAACTGCTACTTTATTTTCAACAAACACAGAAATACTTTATTGATTGTTCAAATTAATCTTAGAATAAGTCATGTTTCTGTAGCACTATCTGGTATCTTGGAACATTACTCGGCTTAATGTTATCACTGGGACTATGCTGTGTGATTCTGTGATGTTAGGGTCCTTGACTACTATAGTCTTTGTTCAGAGGAAAAAGCAAGTCCATTTTTCTACCTTAAAAATTAAGGCATTTATTCAATTTATTGATTGATTTTGTTTAGTATACACCTATGAATTGCAATCAAATATAACATATTGCTGAAATCAGCAGTCTGATTTGCCTTGCCTTTGTTAAACTCTTGCGTACAACGTGGCATGATAAGTGCTACTGTCATTCTCTGTTTAACTCACCAGTAGCAATCAAGCATGCTGAACCATCTAGCTTTGACTGGCCATACCATATTTGTTTGCCGATATTTCTTCTTTTCCTTGGAGTTCTTTCTTTTCCCTTCTGTTGAAAGAAAGTCAGAAAAAAATGATGGGAACTGTGCAGTGCTCTGGCAGATTTAGCCAGTGCACCTTGGTTATACTTTCTAGTTGAAAAAGAATTTTCTTGAAGGCAGCATAGCAGAAATAACTAGTGAAAAGAAATTTAAATTATTCTAGCTTGATGTGCAATACTGACATTTTAGTAATAATATGTTATTTAAGTAATTATATTAAAGCATCTAATCTCAGTAAGACAAGTTTTCTGAAAGAAAGCTGGTATTTCCGAGTAGGTCTGCCATGCTAGATGAACATCCTTTCCCATTCTACATTCCAGTAGAGATTCAAATGTAAAGTGTTAAACTTAGTTAATTTTTGTTGCTATGGATGGGAATGAAATTAAATCTTCATCACACACATGTTAGAGAACTTTGCATTGTTTTGAGGGATTTCATGGGAATAATTCTTGTCTTAAAAGTCTAAGTGACTCATTTTAGTGGCAATAAATATTAAAATTGAAATGGTGTCTGTAAACTTCTTAGAAACTCACTTTGCCTTCGCAACAAATAAAGCAGCAGCATCTGTTCACGAGAGAGTGCAAGCTTAAGAAACACAATCTATTTGTCTGGAATTAGCATTCAAATAAACATTAGCATGATAAATTCAGGAATTTGGGTTCTGGTGCTATTAATGTCATGGGCTCATTGTGTGACTCTGCCAAATGAATTCTAATGCTAAGGTTAAGATTTCTTATTTGGACGTTACCTTTTTTGCATAGTGTGTCTTTTTAAGAACCATCAACTTGCATAGGATGAAACACAACACATTACTTATGAGTTTGTGGGGTCCACAGACAGTCATTAGAACCTCTGGGGAAAATGACTATCACTATCATCATTTTAACCCATCCATTTCTTTTCTTTTGTAAGAAAATACCAAATTTTTATATTATTATACTAACAAATTCATTTTGTGGACAAACAAGTCTCTTTGTCTGTCCCCAGACAAAGAATTCAGTATCTTTCATTAGCTTTTGGTCTTCTTGGATCTCCTTATTTATGCAGGGAGGACTGTGATTTTACACATAAATAATACTAAAAGACCTTACATTATTACACATATGTAGGTAAATAAACATGTAATACATAGTTACACATATTTGGAATTAAGTTTGCTTTTTAAGAATAGTTTCACACAAAAATGAAATGCTTGGTAATTCTCATCTAGTGCCTTGAAAATGTCAGCTGAGTGATTGTATTAGTATAGACATTTAAAAGTAGGAATAAAAGCAATGTAGACAAGGCATAGGCTAACGTGATTTAATTTATATAACCATGTTATTTATAATTTCCCATATCAATCTTTATTTTGAGTACTTACAGAAGGCGATGGATTTAAATTATGATACTCTTCAAGAGGTTTGTTACAGAATGAAAGAACTTTTGTCATCTATAGATAATGCAGGTTCTGAAGAGTAATCTTTATGTTAAAAGGAGATACTTTTAACAAAAAGATTTTTTTAGATTTTTTTTTTAAGGATGACTATACCAGCTGCCCAGTGATTTTTCTTAACAAACCAATGGGACAAATCATTAAATTGATGCTTATGACAGTTTCTTTTTGCTATGCTAGCTAGAGGAGTTCCAAATTCATTTACATTACAGAAATATAAAATGCTGAGGTTAGGAGTATTGTTCTGCAGAGGAAGCTGATGTCCAAAGAGAGACAGGAACTTGTTTTAAGACATCTGTCAGGTTTGTAGTATAGCTAAGACTAGTGCTCAATGGTTCTCATCTGTGCTATTGAAGGACTGTTTCCCCTTCCCCTTGAACTATATGTTTAATAAATTATCTAGTCTTGTTAGTTGGTATCTCTCTGTAAACAATCCCTATTTAATATTGGGAGGAAGTAAGATGATTAATTTCAGGTGCAGATGCAGAAAATTACATTCTTCCTAATCTGTCTTCTGATTCTAAATTTATTAGTCTTGTATTTTGCCTTTTAGAACCTACTTTCAGCTACCGCTTTTAAATTTAACAATTTTGCTATCAATATTAGATTCTCCAGAGCTTTGCACTGGAAAAATATATAGTCGTAAAGTTTCTAGGAAATGTTAAATCTATAGTTTTAACCTAAGTTCATAGATGAAAGTTGTAACTTTGCCAGCTTTTAAACTACCGACTAAAAAGGTGGTTCTTTTTTGCAGTACCGGGAATTGAACTCATCACCTTGCACTTGCCAAGCAGGCACTTATGCCACTGAGCTATATCCCTACCCCCCAACTGAGAAGTTTATGCTAACAAATAAGTAGTTATATTTACCTGTTCACGTGACTATTGCTTGTTTCTTGTCCAGGAGAAAAGAGCATTTTTAAAACTAGTGAGACAGGAAATAATGAAATCAAGTGTAATGAGACTGGCCTTTCATTCCATCCACCACAGAGCAGTAAGAACACTGTTTCCCTCTGTAGGAGCGTACCATTCATTGCCCCAACTTCTTTATTTTATTCCATGCTATTTTCAAAGGCCAGAGGTGCAAAAGGAAGGCAAAGTTTTCCAGAACAAAGAAGCAGACATTTTCCAATATATAGGAGAATCCATTAAAAGAGAAAAGAGTTATATTATTTACCAGAAGTTAAATAGTATTTCTTTAGAATAGATAGCAGTATCTTAAAAACGGGGCTAGGCAGCATATTTAAGAGCTGGTAAGTGTAATAAAATTTTCAGAGAAGCAAGGTAATAAAGAGAAAAGAATCAAAGAAAAATTATTCAATGTAGCAGGACATACTTACACTTTTCTTTTTTGTGTTGTAATATATTGTATTGTAACATGTTTATTTTTGGAGAATGGCAGGTCATATTGATGCCTAAGCAGATAATCATGCCTTGTTTTAGTTTTATTTATCAGTGAAGTGAAACATTCACCAGGTTTGTACCTGAACTAACAAAATCTATGACAAGACATAAAATTGCATATAATCCCTCACTGAGCATTTTCACTTGTTTTTATTTTTGTTTTTAATATCCTCAAAGAGGCTCAGATGTGGTAAAACTGTGGTCATTTGAGAAATAAAAGATTGTGGTGCTTTGTTTCCTTTTACAAAGTCTTTCACATTTTCATTAGTACTGGAATTTAAAAGCTTTACTTTGGTCAGAATCATCAGGCTTCTTTAAGAAACACAGCTTTGATGAGCTGCTGTTTGACCTAGAGAAGACCTGATGTTAAATGGAGACAAGCACTAGTAAATACTTTAATAGAGATAGCAATAAAGAAGAGGGCATCGTGCATTGCTTCTGTCGCATATACTGTTCATTAAAATTTTGTCTTTGCAAGGTCATACTTCACAGCTATTCTTCCACTCAGGGAACAGAAACCTTCTTAATAATGCAGGCATTAAGAAACAAATTCGCTCTGTTCTATCATAATGATGTGTCTGTTCACGTATAACAGCACATTCATTTCAACCTTGTTACCAATTTGGTATGATTATGTAATCTATTTCAGTGGTGAGAAATCTGTGCAGCACACAAGATGGGGCCTTTGCTTACCTGCTGAAAAATACATTGCAGCCAACATCGGCTAAGAAGAAAGCAGTGGAATCTGTTTTCCTCCCCAGTTGTCTTAGAGGAATGTAAAATGCTGCACGTATGTTGGAATGTGACCGATGCTATGTTCTTCAGTACGTGGTTAGAGGTGCGGCCCATTTGTCCTCCAGGTTCCTGGGGTTTTCTGCTTTAGAGAATTACCCGTTTCTCAGTCTGCTTGGCATGTCTAGACTCAGGGGTGCATGTGCCCCAGATGCTACTGTACCTTTATTTAAACATGAGGATGATCTGCTTATCAGATGGCATTCACAAGAAATTGTCTTCACTAGATTTTATTCCCTACTTTTTAGAATTTATTTTAAAACCAGTGGCGCAGACTGTAGAAATTGCTTTATAAAGTTCAAATAATTGACTGCAGTGCTGTTTCACTCTGAAAATTGGCCAGTGTTGCTAGCATTTTAGTCAACCCTCCCCAGTGGTTTTTGAGGTAAGTAGCACCCTAGGTGAGGACTCAGGACATGTGGAGCCTCCATCCTTGAAATATACTGTAGCACTTATTTAAAAATACAAATCATATCCACCTCTGGCTTATTTCTAGGGATGTAGTGCAGAAGAGTACAGAGGAAGGAACAGAAAGGCTGTGACGAGAGTGAGATCCTGGGCAAACTTCTGTAGTCATTTCTTATTAGCAGTAGAATAAAGGGCTGTTTTAAGAAAAGAAGACAAGTATGTTTTTTTTTTTTTCTGTTGTACCTGCAGATTTACTATTTACTTTTGTTTTCTGGGCAAGCTGAGAAGTACCTATGGGCAAAGCAGCATCACTGTCTTTTTCTGAGAGCTCCCATAAACAAAGCTGCCTCTTCCCTTTGGTTTAGTACATGCCTTCTGAATTCCTCTTAGCTAATTTTACTTCAGCCCAGTTTTGCTGGAGATAGTTGTGTTGACTTATGAATATTGAATTAGTAATTGTTGGAGGATGATATAAGTTACCTTGCCCATTTAAGATACGATGTAGGAAAAGTACCTGTTTATGAGACATTTCACTGAATTAAAACTAATTGTAATATCTTGGAAATAATTCAATAGGATTATTGAATAATAGAAATAATTCAATAAAGGAAAAATGTATTGCATTCTAGCTACTTTTTCTTAGATAGAAATAAATTTATTACTTCTGTTACTGAAGACTCTTCATGTTATGTGTTTTAACCAAAGCTCACATTGTTTTGTAGACTTTTGTATTTAAATTGTGTTTGCACATTGTTTTGGTGGTTTGCAAGAAATTGCTTGAATGAAAATTAAATTCTATAATAATCTGTAGTAACACCGTCGAACTTTCATAGCATTCAGGGGTGGCAGGCTTGCCAGTGAGAGGAAGTGTCATCCTTCCATCAGAATGTGAGATGTGCAGCAATGCAGTGTGGCATTTGATTCTTATCTAGTTAAGTGGAAGTGTGAAGTTATATAGTGCTGGAGAGGAAGTGCTAAATCAAGTTCAATACTTGTAAAAATTGAAAAATGCATTTATTTTTATATGTATTTTATTTCTGTAAAGTCACAGTACATTTGTAGAAAATCTTTATTGTTTTAGAAAATGGCTTAGTGCTTAAAAGGTAGGCAAAGTTATACCTACATCTTCTATTGTAAATTAATTATACACTTTGGGTAGTAATAATTAAGAATTTTCAGTAAGATTTTGAGGCTAGGATAGTGTAGTTTTCACCTTAATGAAAGGCCAAGTGATCAAACTGGTCATGCATGTGAAGACAATAAAGAAGTAATGTTTAAGGAATGTTCCTTTGAACCATGTTGAGAATGGCCTTATTTCTAGGCTTATCAACTTTCCTTTGTAATTTGCCTTTCAGCAGTATATGTAATTGAAATTGTAAGATTCTGTTCTCCAAATTTAGCATGCTGAGTTTGGGATATGGGTTTTAATTTTTGTTTGGTTTTGGTATTATTCTCCATTTCTCATAACTGAGTCCATCAAAATTAATACTAAATATGTATGCAGTTTTAAAATGTAAAAATTGTATGATTTTTTGCACAGAAAATATGATATCCAGTGAGCCTTTCTATTTGTTAATAGAAGATTTTAACTTTAAATAAATCTTGGGTACACTGCATTTATGCCCATGTAATAACTTCTGCATTTTTTCCAATGTGTTGTCATCTCTTTGTTTTGAAATCTCTGAACGCCCAAAATGAAAAAGAATAAAAGAGTAACTCTCACTGGGTGCGGTGCCACCTTCCTGTCGTCTCAGTACTCTGAGAAGCTGAGACAAGCACACCACAGCAGCCTAGCCGGGGCAGTCTGGCAATTTAGCAAGAGACTGTCTCAAAAGGAAGCACTTTATAAAGGGTTGGGGATGTAGCTAAGTGCAAGGGTATTGGGTTCAGTTCTAAATACTAAAATTAAAGTATGGAGTAACTCATAAATCTCAGGTTTGTCTGACATTTACATAGGGGAGACATGAGCATTTGTCATAATCTCTGTCCTAGAAGCCAGTGTTCTGACAGCATCTGAAAATGGATTCCCCCATGAGTAAAGTGCAAACCTGAATTTCCTGAAGGAATTGTTCCGTGTTTCTGTGTTGATTGTGATTTCAGAAAAGCTACCGTTTTATAGTGGTCTGGTTGCATAAAAATGCTCTGGTCACTATTAGGTCCCATGATCCTCATAGAACAGTATGCAAGATTGAAAAAATCCTGCATTAGCAGGGTGAAAAAATATTTTCAGAACAAAAGACATTGTGTTACTCAATTTGCTAAATGTATGCTCTTATCTTAAATTATTATTCATTATTTTCTTTAGAAGTCATTTATAAGTCAACTCAGAAGCTTCAGTGTTCCAACTAAGAACGTTTAATAATGGTAACTTGTCATAGGGTTTAAGCAGTTTACATCACGATGTGATACTGAATTATTCTCAATTTTTACCATGCTGCAATCTTTCCAGTGATTTATTTCCAAAGAGTGTGCTTTCCTGCAGTGGTGTTTTGACCCTTGTTTTTCACAAGGCTGTCATACATTCTGTAATGGACATTTCCATCGGTCAAGTTCAAATGCATTTATAAGGCAAGATGATCACCTCTGTGCTTGCATTCCATATGTTGATTGTTGCTTTATGCTTTACGGGGCCATGAGTGCACGCTTCAGTAGCATCAGTGTTGTAAAACTGCTCATGAGCAGCAGCCAGTGAGTGAAGAAGACAAAAGTTAAGGGGGAAAGAAATGGTCATGTGTGTGTTGGGGGAGGGTCTGAAAATCAAGAAGATTTAGATGCATACTTCAGTTCTCAAGATTGAAATTTCCTCTATAATGCCTTTTCTTATTTATATCGATCACCTTATGTCAGGAATATGTTTGCCGAAGCTCAAAAATATCACAGTATGTGACAATAAAAATTTTTCATCAGTCTTTTTATTAGAAAATGAAACCTGTAAAAACATATTTTAAGTAGTTTCTGCTGCAGAGGTCATGTTTGTAGATTCCTGGTGAATGTATAACCAACACATTCCAGGACTGGCATATGGACTCAAAGGAATGTGTGAAAAATGTTTTTTGACTCACAGAAACTGTTAATTATGATGGATTTCTAAGTTACCTTACATGCATTTTGACAAGGCAATTTCTGAAATTGAATTTCTGGGTTTTTCTGACAGAGACTTGGGAAATTTTGATTAATAAACAAATTTGTATCTTAAGACATCTAATAGCTATGTATGTGCCCTGAGTTTGTTTTATGGTACTAGTAAGAAATGGTTTATTTAGCTATTTATTTGCAGTCTCTCATGGGATACTTGGAATGGTACAGGGTGGAATGATTGCCTTGTTCTGGTCTTCTAAAACAGATTGAAAAAAAATTAGTGATACGTTACAAGTGTGTCAGCCTTCTTATGCCTTACTTTTTGAGGACAATTGTTCCTACGCGTTTGTTCACTTGTATTTATTTTTATTTATTTATTTATTTATTTATTTATCTGTCTATCAGTGCTTGAGAAGGTCTGCCTGTAACAGGAAAAGCTACACAAATAACCAGGAAAATAAATCCCTGGGAACCACACCTGCACCCTGAAGTTTTGCTATGACTGCGTCTTTTTACAGTTGATTCAAACTTTTCCAGCACCTATTTTTTTTTTTTTTTT